TAATATAGACCTATTTATTTTTGACTAGTTGGAACAAATTGAAATATTACAAGAAATGTCCTAAGGCTTGATGTCTTTTAACTAACATGTAGCCGGAAGAGCGGTACAGGCAAAACCTGCTGGAAAGTGTAATTTTCGGGAAGCCTCGTTGCTCGCAAATCCAGTTATGAACCGGCTTTAATTAACGGATTATTATATCCCTTTAGGGCCCTTGGGAAGATGGGGCGTCGTTGTCAAGTTTCCCTTAAATAATCCATGACTAGCATTTAAAAAACTGATTTAACTTTTCGCCCATTCCTTAATGCTTCCCATCCACTAAACGCACCAATTTTCCATATCCGAGCTTTCCAAACAACAATCACAAAGGTTACTAGGCTAATTACATTGGTTTGCGACAGTGCCATTAGCTGGGTAGCAATTACCTGCCATTAAATGGGTGAATTTGGAGGCTGCGCCCTCAAAGGGCGCCCCAAATTGCATTATTGACCAATTTGGAGCACGGCACAAACTTTCGTTTGTTGCTAAAAGTCGATTACATATTGTTCAACTTGCACGCCTCTGGTCGCCTGGTTAATGCAGGTACCATTAAAAGGGCTGCACTTTTATTAAGTAGGAAAATAGGAAATCGATGGACCTGCAACAGGGCTGAAAGTAATGAAAATGCGGAAAATGGCCGGATTGCAATTATTGTAAATGTTCGTTATTAGCCTCATTTAGCTATCACGTTGCATTTGAACCCAAAAAATAAAAAAGTTGATCATCCATTGAGGTCTAAATAGGGTTGCAAAAAACTCTCGTTCACGTTTGAGGCCGCATAGTCAAATATTTCCCACAATTTAAACAAGTGCCATTAATTGTGTAAAGAAGATTAGATGAGTGGAGGTAAAGGTTTATGCAACATTATATTCAATTGGTTTTTTGTACAAAAATAATATTTTTCAATCTTAGAAGTTAAAAAGTTCATATATAGAATGAGCAAAAACGGGATGGAAAACATTGACATTTTTGCCTGATCTTGCACCTAAATGTCTAATGTTCAAATTTCGCTTCCTGGGTCAAAACAAAAATACTCGAATTTCCTCACTCATGTTGTTATGACTCAATCGAATTTTCAATTCTCTATCCAACGATGCCGAAACGAATGCGGTGGCTCAAATGGTTCTTGAGAAATTTAAAAAAAAAACAGCGTCATGTTTGAGTGGATTAAGCAACTGAAAAAAAATATGCTAATATAAAACTTTTTGAAATAAAGACTTTTTTGAGAAAACTTCTAACATTTCTTTATCGATAGATCTGTTTCTAACAAGTTCTCTCTGGAATGATGCAAAAATCTGCGTTCTGGTTCATTTTGCTACCGAAAAATGAGCAAAAACGGGACGGAAAACATGAAAATCTTGAACCTAAGTGTCAGGTATTCAAATTTCGCTTTATTTCATTTCATTTTCATTCATTCATCAACAACAATGATATTACACTATTGTAGTTTACACAAGTTTACACTTGCCTAAAGCTAGCGGATCATTTGCTAGCTGCAGAGCTAAAGAGTCATTACGCACACGTTCTGGACGAGTTTTGTTCGCGCAAAAAGCTTCCTGAAGCGAACATTTCGTTGCCTATTCATGTTTTATTATGCTCAAGATCATCAGCTTCAGCTTCAGATCAACAAGAACCACTAAATCACTAATCACCACTCTTGTGTTTTCTGCAACCAATTTCAGAAAATTGGTTAAAGTTGTTGTTTGACTGCACCCGTTGATGGCAAACCATTGAATTAAATTACAGGCCACTTAAGAGCGGCGGCCAAAATCAAATTAATTTCCGGCTGGAAATTTCGTTGAATATTTTGGTAAAGCTGCACATCAAAAGCCCCCATATGAGGTTTATTAGTTGTTACAACAACTCCCTAATTAATTCTCTGTCAATTTAACGGCGGCTGCCATATCAATAACACTGTTAAGTGCAGCGCTGGGCTTTATTAGATTGATTCGTTCTCCTGTTTTGAAGCCTCTCCGAGCGACTTTTTTCTACAACAGTTTGGATCTCATGAGTTCCGGGTTTCGCGATAAACGCAGCCGATTTTAAACTGGTTCGTTGTCGACGAAACCTGCAATTATTGGGATTTCTTCAGCAAAATATTGTCCCCAATTATTCGGGAACAAATGCACGGTTTAATTGCATGAAAATCCAATCTGTCCAGAGATAAATTTTCAATGCTAAAATAAAAAAAAAACAGCAAAATAAAGTCCTAATGGCGGGACGCAATTAACGGCCATTCAGCATGCTGCAAAACAATATAGAATATATTTTTATCGGGCGAATCTCTGGACGATTATCCAGGAATTATGAGCGGTATTAATTGGATTCGGGCATGTTTAGGAAGAACGACGCAGTGATTGGATTTTATGAAATTGGTTCCTGGTTTGTTATGGATAAACAGAGATTTTTGATTAATGCTATGATTTTAGTTCAATTGCACACTGGATTAGCTAATTGATTCAATTTCCTCAAAAGTTTTTGGTTGAGAATAATTTTTATACGGTATACCATGCAATCGTTGCCCAATGAACTGAGTTTGGCTTAGAATAGAACCCTCTATGTTCAAAATGTACATCAATTCAACAGAAATGAAGCATCAGAAGCAGACCCTTGTCTCCATTCTGCCAGATCTCCTGTCAAAAAAGTGAAAACAAAATCGTCAAACAAGATTTAACCAACAGGGACACCAAAGAAAATGAGGGTGAAGAAGAATCTTTTAATAACAATCAACCTTTGTCAATACTTAATGAAAAACAATGTCAGAAACTTTACAGAACAGTGAACAGAAGTGACAAAGAATGAAACAAACAACATATAAATAACATTGAGTTAAGAGCAACGCAAGACATTTTGTAGAACTAGAAATATCTTGAGGAATACTAACCAAGCACTATACATATAAACTCGCTAAGGAAAGGTTAAAAGATACCTAGTGGTTAAAAGTGTCTAAAAGTTAGCCACTCAACTTAAAAGGTATTGAAGAGGGAAAAATGGTTTCAAATTGTTTAAAAAGTTTTTTAGCGCCGTTTGCACCGTTTTATATTAAAGACAAGCTTACATAAACCAGCCTTAAAAATTAAGCTCGGTTTTAAAGGCTTGCACCGTACCAATCTGTTGTTGGCTTTGTTAAGGTGGTGTCAAGCAGATCTGTTTGCCATATGTGGAATTATGACCAATGAATGATACAATGAATACATGTATTCATTCTATCTATCTTTACATTAGAATTTTTTCGATTGAGAAGATAGATCGAGGGATTAACCTCAGTTTAGAACACGTTTAAGGCAAGATTCCTAAATTGTACAATTTAGGAACATTGCGTTTAGAGTGTTTTTCAACCCAACGTTCATATTTTAAATACATCTGTTTTTTAACAATTTTTTATTAAATAATTTTATATAGGTATTCAAATTTGATTTAGTACTGATAGACCAAAATTTTAACACACATTTTTGAAATAATTAATGAATTGTTGTACTGTAGTATTGACCAATATCAATTAAATAATCCATTTCATTTATATTTGTGGTGGTTTTGTAGAACCCAAATATTTTAAAAAAAGTTAGTTTCTCCAAGTCCTCCAATGGATTATTTTTGTCATATATCGTCTTTGGAAATCCAAATTCAGTTATCTCGCATACATATATCTAGACAGTCTTCAAATATGTCAAAACAAGTTTCGATATCCATTGTTTCTGTTTTTTGTTTGTTATGGGAATTTTCAATTTTGTTAACTATCGCCACATGTATGAGGAAGGAAGACGAAGGTTAGAATTTACGGCTTAACACCATAAGCCACCAAAGTTGACGGCTTAATTTAAGCCGAGCTTGGAATGCTGTAAGTCTGGTTTATAATGTCGTGCAAACCAATTTCATCTTAAAGCTGAGCTTAGTGGCAAAACTAAGCTTATTTTCAACGGTGCAAACGGGCCTTAGAAAGCAAATTTTTGAAATTTTTTACATTTTGTGTATCACTTTATTGGGGGCTACTAGATGAAAAAAAATAGATTTCTGAATTTCCATATCGCATTTTTAAATTTTGGAACAAATAACCTTGTTAATCCCTAACCTGGTTGAATCTGCAATTTTAACAATTTCACGCAGATAGAGAAGCTCGAGTATTTGCCAAAGAGCTTGAGTACTTTTTGTAGAAGAAACCGAGGAAACTGAAGATGAAGATGAATCCGTAACCTATCAAGATCCAGCCTGATGTCCAGACGATTCTGAAGAATTTCAAGAAAACCATTTTTGGTTGTTGAGTTTAGCTGCCATCACATGTTTGTGTCTTGTCAAACCGTCTAAGAATAAAAAAACCCCTGTTAATTTGTGTTTTTTATTTAAAGTCCTCATTAGCTCTTGAAGCAATTCGGGTCGATCTACAGTCCAATTCGCATTTCCACTAACTTGATAAAATAACCAAAGCCCATCAACTGGAAAACCAATAAAGGAAATGATAAATGTAATTGAAATCGGATTAAGGGGCGTCGCTGTAGGGGTACGAGCAGCTCCTGGGGCCCTTTGGCGCGCTCCATCTAATTCCGAACGCAAATTGTTCATAAACGCAGCTCATATCCGGGGGGATGTTGCCAAATTGGCGAGGCGACGACGAAAAATCGATTTCAAGTGTTTATATTCCAAAAAAACTATAGTGACTTGCTGGGGGTTTGTCTGGATAAACCAATTTAAAAAGTAGAAACGCGCCTGGATGAGCGCGTTGTCTTTTTCCACGGCACGGAGTTAGTTATGTGGAAAACACGCAACTTCCTGCCGCGCCAAACAAGCATTCGGCAATACTTTTCTTAGCTTTCCCGAGGTCTGAGGACGCAAACTTTCCAGCGGACAAAGAGTTCAACTGTGGCACTTCGAACTTCTCATTCGGTCTCAGGTGTGTTGCGGTTGCACAAGTTAAGATTTATAGCCAACAAGACAATAGGGAGAGCTACTTAACTAAGAGATATGTAAAAACTGACATTTTTTAGCACGGCCATTTATTAAAGTAACAGACATGGTTCCAACAGGTTTTAGCGACGGTTACATTACTGGAAATAAGGGGTTTTTGAAGTTGGACTTAATCTTGTAGGCGGTTTTCCACACTTCGAACAGGCAAATTGTAGAGTGGAATCGGTAGAATATGGCCAGCGGCATGGATATGTGGGTGATAATCGTCCAGGCCCAGGCTCCTAAAACACACACTCCATTCCAGCTCCAGGTGTTCACCGGGATTTTCACTCACCAAAGAACTTTAAGTGAGTGGGTCGGAACTCTGCCCGGTTCTTCTCTAGAGTGTTGATGCTCCACATCGCCATGTTGGCTACCATTAGGAAGATGATCAGCTCTCTTCCTGGCATGAACTTGGCTTGGGAAATGTTCTTACATCGACGCCACCAAGCGTCGAAGATAAACATAGTCTGAAGAAAAATGACACCATTATTCAGTCTAATTAGTTCACCCTTTGCCTACCTGCAGGCAGGTTTGAATGAAAGAGAACAAGTCCGCGAGTAGTCCTATTGTGGTGTTCTCCATGGTGAAGTACCAGCCAATCAAAGAGAACATCGAGTAGATAAACATCCCGGTCTGGGCGACTGCTAGTAGCATATTGTCTAGGCCCATTCCTCCATGACCTGCGAAACATAAAAAAAAACAAATAAATCCGGAGCAGCTGTTGTGAAATATCCACCTCACCAATTTTTCGTTCATATTTCAAATTCCTCAGCTGAAACATAGCGATAATCACCGTAATGGTGGTGGCTATGTAGAGGAACAGCTCCACAATGTTTACTTCAATCTCCGCATAATTGGTGCGCACTCCGGTCTCATCGTTTTTCGGTGTGAGCACGAAGAACATCACCAAGGAAATTATGGTCAGCACGATCACCATTATGCCTAAAGTGTCCATATTCTGTGAAAGATTCGCAGGAATCAGGTAAGCGAAACCTACCGGCAAACAGTCCTTTGTGGGAGTTGGAGCAGTCGATGGTAAAGTGGTGGCCGGAGTTGCTGGAGGCAAAGTAGTCTGAAAAGATGTGCGTTGGATTCATTGAGGGTTCCATCAAATTTTCTTTACTACTCGCGAAATATATTAAGGAATAAAAAGGCACTAAAATTGATCGAAGGTGGAAACAGTGGAAACAGGAATTATTGATTATACGAAAGGAGTCATACATTGTGGAAAGATGTTGTTGAAATTTCAGAATAAATTCTAAATAAAATAGAACGTTTTCCACAGTGGAACCACAAAGATAATTGACACAAGTGTTTCTTCGATTAAACAGGCTGCAGGAAACCTTTATGAATTACAGTGTAACGTTTTGCCTTGGTATTTTCTTCTGTTTTTATCATCATTTGAAAAATTAATTCTTCTAAGGAAGAAGCTGACAATTTACAAATAACACAGATCAGTGAGTAAATGTGAGAATGAAGCAGTAAAAACGACTACTGGAAAAATAATGTTTATGAAGTTGTAGATTTTCGAGAAGTGCTCCGAATATTTTTTATTGGCTGCAGCTGAAGATGTTGAAAAAGTTCTTAAAAGCATAGCAAAACAAACGAAGGAAGAATTAGTTATCAATGGAATTATAATAAATCTTGACTAATTTGAATCATCTATTGAAAAGAAGGAATATTTAAAAATAAAATAGAACTAAAGGAATTAATATTTTCAAAACAGCGTGAGGTAAATAAAAGAAAGCAGCAGTGAAAATAATCTAAATTAATGAGAACTCAGAGCAAAATCAGATCAATTACAGTCTACCCTAAGCTTTTTGGCAGTAATACAATAATTCTGGCTTTTTTCTATTATTCCGGTGTTCCAATGGGCACTTGCACACGACACAAAGTTACTCAGCGCAACAGACCCGACGTTACTCACCAGCTTTGTGTTTCTTCTTCTTGTGATCTTTCTCCTTCTGTTCATGATCCTCGGTCCGAATGTGCTTCCACATTTCAAACAGAATTACCGCGCAAATCAAACTAAAATCCTTTGCATTACATAAAAGCTCCTGATACTTGAACAGTTTTCTTCACCTGTACTCAATGGTGCAAGGAAAGAGGAACGGACTGGCATTGTTGACCAATGAACCCATCAATCTGCCTTCTGGGCAGTATTTAGTGAGACCTCCTGTTTCATTGCTGCCATTTAACTGCTGATGAACTGAAGAAAAATCGAATCATCTTATGTAAATCAAAGGCATCAGTATATAGATATTTCTACCTGATAAATGAGTGATTTCATGGCGAGTTTCTTCCACTAGCACGTTAAGCCACTCGCACAGATTGGTGGCAATCATGTGCATCAGTCCGAACCTGCCAATGATCTTGTGCCTGTTCAACTCCACGTCCTGCAACATATTAGAAGGACGTTCATCTCTTCAATTGCCAGGAATATTTCGTAGGGTTCACCTTGTGGTTCAGAAAAATGAACTGAATCTGGAGCAAAGTCAACAGCATCCTTGTGACTGGAGTGATGGCTTGAAGGCTGTTGGAGTAACAATCTGGCATACTTTTCAACTCAAAGTAGCGACCGAATTCCAGGCCAGAGTACACCATGCTGCCAATACCAAATGCTGGAAATTTGGAAGGTTTTGATGGGTTACACACACAGGAAAATAACTCAGTTCAAGCTTCAACTTTTTCTTTATATATATAGCGAAATATCCTGAACATAAAGTGGTAGAATTGAAAATTCTGCTAAAACCTATTCAAAGCTGATACTGACCGATGGCTCCTAATCTGAGAAAGAAGCTTCCATACTTCTTTGCAGGCTTGATGGGGTTGATTTTCGCTAGAAACTCTCCTTTTTCTGGATCATCTGAAAAGAAGCCCACAACTTTAAGGAAGATCATCTCCACTTGACAGAAATCGTGCTTTTGCAATTCGTTAACAGAGAAATAAACTCGCAACACTTTGAAGGTTTAGAACAATTTTCATGCAACAAAATTACCGATTATTTTGTATGATCAAAAAAATAAATGAAAGTTAGTTGACTAAAAAAAGCTTGTTTCCAAACTTGCAAGAGCTTCAATGGAACCAAGAATTAATATATGTGTTACTTTTTGCGGTTGTCTCAGATAAATTGATCGGAACTGCAACTCGATGAAGAACATTCTGAAGAAACCGCTGTTTCGGACGTACTTGGCTGGATCCTGATGGATCAGCACCATGAATGTCTCTATTTTTCTTTCAATTATTTGTAGCTGATGTTTGTCATCCATTTGTAGATATGGTGGAATCGTTTTGGTATTCGAATCTCCAACAATTTTAATTTAATGTGGTTTTCCAAGTGATTTCATACCGATTTAGAAGCAGATGTTGCTCGCAGAGAATTACTTGTTAGTTTTTTGAGTCCTCACCATGCTGGGGCTTCATGTTAAACCCCAATAAATGTGTATTACCTTAAGACAAACCCACGGATCATACGAAGGAAATATTCGTGTTAATTTCTCTAAAAATCCGATGATTCTTACGCAAGTTCTTGATGATATTGTTTACTGCTCGCTCCTTCACAAAGGTCACATATTCGTAGGTGATGAAGACAATGCTTCCCAAGTAGAGGTACAAATAGAATCCCTGATAGTAAAAAGCGTGGACTTCATCCGAGATCACTTCAGTAATAGGAAATGCTATTCCGAGCACCACCAGCAGCTTAGCATAAAGAGCCGACAAGATGATGGTAAACCCATTGCTACCAAAGAAATAAGCCATGAAACCTGACTGAAACTCTGGGGCGTTAACACCAACTTTTCCATTTTACTGGAGAATCTCACAGATACTTTATCGACTTTCTTATCCTCCTTGGGCAGGTTCTGGCTGGAATTGTCGTTGAAGAAGCCTAGCAGGTAGCGGCGCTGGTTCATCACTGCGTGGGCAGCGGACAGCGCCACAGCCTAAGAACAGCAACACTTTGAATATTTTCTTGAGAATAAAAAAGGCGGGTACCTGAGAGGGCCTTCGAAGCGCAGCGATAATGAGGCTGGGGCGTCTGGACGACATGTTGCTAGAGTCGCCATTGTAGGGTTGCAGACAGTCGCAGTTGGAGGTGAGCTGAGCGTCTGTGTCAGTTATCATCAGCTGAGGAGGGTGGAGGAAGCACGGCTCTCGATCCTGATTGGCCGAGGCATTGGAGCTGCTGATAACCCACAGTTATCAGTGAAAGAATCTCGTGTAAAAAGCCAACTTACATCTCATGTCGTTCATCATGTTCATCATCTTCGGAGATGTCGTGATTGTGACTGGGCCTAGTGAATCCAACTTTTCGCCTGCAGGAAAGTGAATGCTAAGTTGAAACTCGATTGGATTCATCCACTCTCCACGATCCCGATTAGTTAAGAGACGAGACTATCGCATCGAATGGCCCCCCGAATCCTTTTAAATTAGCATAACAGCCCCCTTTTACCTATTTTCTTCGTGCACGATGTCCATTAAGGGCCTTAATTGCTTCTCGAGGTCCCTCGATGGCAGTTTGTCGCTTCTTTATTAAAACTTGGAAAAAGTCGCCCGATTTCGGATGTCGGCTACGGTCTGGATCGGTCTCCTATGGAAAACAATTCACTTTTGCAACGACGCAATATCGAAATTACTATCGAGAAAAATGTTAATTGCTGTGATCCTCTTAGGAGAAGCTTTCCAGATTTACGTGCAGAAGCACAAGTCTGGTCAAGAACACTAGCACTGAAAAACTGATTTCTAGTGCATGGTTTCCACATCAAGTGAAAACAGTTTATTGGCAATTTTATGACCGGATTGAGCTGGTTTGGCTGTAAAATCGCTATCCATAAAACTGGATTAACTGTTGAGGGATTTGCGTTTACAGTACCATGATTTTTCAGGTAGGTTTTATTGTGCTGACGCATAGGCGTTCAGTAATGTTTCCAGGTTTTACCCAATTTTCTTCCGAATTAAAAATAATTATTCCTGAAGCCAGAAAGAGCAATGTACAATTCCGGCTAGATCCAAATAAGTTTGGTACTAGAGGAAAACCTTGCGCCCAAGCCACTGCTCATTTCTGATCAACCTCAATGGAATTCTGGGCTTACCAAACGATTGGCCGTAAAATGAGATAAAAATTTATCAAATCTTGATAAGACTGGCTGCATTTGATGTGGCATAATCCCGGTTTATTGACTTAATGATTTTACGATAGGCTTATTTATCTGTTGTTTCCGATGTTCATCCGTTTGAGGCTTATCTGGAGTGGGATCAGGACTGGATCATATGGATTGGGAGATTCAAAGAATAAACCAGACATTTTGGGTTTGGTGAATTGAAACGTTTAAAGCAGCCACAAGTAGCTTAATTTTTCATTTACTAGCTGGTAGACAATGTGAAAAGCCTTAAGTAGATCTTATGAAGTTGGAGTGACCGGTCACTGGAATGGAACCGGTCTTGAACTGGAAACACTAAACTAAACTTTGCAGTCAGACTGTTGAAAACACCGTAATCGAAAAAGTGGCTTCAAGAAAAATTTCCGATTCTTGAAGTTGTGCCAAGCCATAAGCGCACGACACTGATAATAACATTATTCCATAGAAATTAAACCTTTCAATCAAAATACTTTGAAACAGCTTGCCGCACTTTTTGCATATTTAGCCATCTAACCTCTACTTTAAGTCGAAACTTTCTACGGTCGAACGGTGTAAATGTTTTGAATTCTAAAATATTTTTTGGCAAACTTTTTGCTTTCAGACCTTGAATTAAGCGGGTTTAGTCTAATCGCATTTTTCCTTTAATTTTGCAAGAACCGGCCTTGTTTCTTAAAATTTAAAATACTTGGTTTCTCCCTGGCAATGCGAGTGTTWGAATTTTTTTTTTGGTTGTAGTTTTGAAGATTTTTAACAACGTTCTGAAGTAGCGTAGGCATTTGCTTGATTTACCAACGGAAAAACTTTTWTTTTGAAGAATTMAATTTTTAATAAAAAATACTGAAAAAACCTTGATACAAAAAAGACTGAAAAATATCAAGTGTCTCAAAGAAGACTCGCATTGAGAAGAGGAAGTTYAGAATAATGATAAAAATTTAACTATTGAGTTCAASCTCGGAACACTTCCGTAAAAATCAAATAATATTGAGGGTGCATCAAGCAATAAAAACAGCATTTAATTATACAATGAACAAAAAAACTTTGAAAAACCACCTACTTCTATCTACCGCATAAGTCGTTGATTTGATGCTATGATATATATTTGATACAAAAAGCATTCTAGACAAAGTTTCAAACCGAGTTCATTTCAGGAGTTCAAAAGAAATTCGCTTTTCTTTAGAGGAATTAGCCATTGTATTCAGAAGGGAGGTGTTTGATCTAGAAAATAATCTTTGAATAGGTAACCGTTTATTCAAAGCATAAAGTTAAAGATGGAATAAACCTGAATAATTTTCCACTCGACTCTCTGCTGTAGCATCTGCAGAATGCATCCATAAACTCCGTTGAAAGCTCAATTAAAGACTTACCTTTTGCGTTGTCGCCAAAGTTCAAAACTAGGAATCCCATGGGCTGCTAAAATGCTTCCCGACTAATTTGTATAAACATGCCGTCGCAATAAAAGCGCTTTTTTCTTCGGCCGAAAGACTAAGCCGGCAAAAATACGGAAAAACTTTTGCTGCGACCACGCCGAATTTACGATTTGCCAAGATAAAATTCTAATTTCTAAGTTTTTCGGTTTTTGTTCGTCGTTCGGTTTGCTGGTTTAATTAGCGCCAAGTTGTCGCAGGATTTATCGGTCTCCGTCTAATTGAATCATACTCGAACCATACGAATGGAATTTTGCATTTAATGGAGCGGGTGCGAACGGCCAATTACTGACCTTTGGTCCCATTTCCAGAACGTAAATAAACGCCAGAAACGCGGCAGGGCGCTAAAAGGACGCTCCTGTTGGAGCAAAACGAGTTGTTACTTCCGATTTGCCGGAAACGGGATATTTTTTTGTCTTTTTTTGGTCTTGTTGCTAAAAGCCGAGCTTCCTTCAAGGGGATTAGTTCTGAAAGTGTTTTAGAACGGTAAAAGAGTCACTACCTTAGAAAGCCATTTTTGCCGCTGCAAAACACTTGTTTAAAAAACAGCTCGTTTCGCTTGCAATTGCCCCTTTTTTGATTCAACCTTAATCTTTTCAACTTTTTCCAAGAAACAATCTGTGCACAACTAAAAGGTTTTTAAAAAGAACCTTGTTTGAAAAAATAGGGCAATTCAGATCACGACACCTACATACAAACAAATCAAGTCTAGTTGCAGCAGAAAATTATCCAGGGCAATGCGATACGAATATCGCATTACCCGGCTGCATTTTTCCAAAAGCTCCCCGCTATATCTTACTAATAACGCACTTTTCCAGGAAACAAATCCAATCGACTCGGATATAGGAAAAGTTAAGTGCATGGCAAATGTTTCAGGCAATCGGACTTCTTTTTCTTCCAGGCTGGCGAGGAATTGATTGAGTGAACATGTTGACATGGATGAAGTGTGTTTGGCGATTTTCCTTGCATATCTGGATTTCTGGATCAGCGAGGAAAAGGCACGCAAATTGATCAGCGAATCCCGACTGGCAATCTGGATAAACACATATTGTATAAAACCGGTAGAGGGATGATTATTATGCACAAATGAGTTAACTCGAGTAACTTCAAAGACTGAGCAACTCCGGGGGATTTTCGTGCCTAGTTAGACGTGCAGGCGAGAAGAGCGGATTAAAATTTAGTGCTATTGTTATTTGGGAGAGGGAGAAAGAGATTTTGATTTTCCCAAAGGCCTGATGAAGATGGTTTTATTATTTAACCGAAGAATTATCAAACTTCTGAAGAGTGTTGTTTTGCAAAAAAATGCAAATTGATTTAATTAAACCGTGAATGTTGCAAAACTTATTAGCGATATTGTTTATGTCAACTTTGCCACGCTTCTAATTAGAACACTTCGCACCTACGTGTTTTAGCAACTTTAAAGTGCAGGTTTTTATAGAAATGTTTCCGATATCGACACTATATTTTTGTCACTAATTTACCCATAATTTCGGCTGGCGGAGGAATTATTATTCAACAGAAAGAATGGGAGAAAGTCATGGAAATTTTGCAATTTTTCTTTGTTCGCTTTAGAGCACTTTTCATCAATAACTTTAGCTCTAGTTGCATTCGCTGATCGGGTATTTGCGCTAATTTCTTAAGCGGCCAAATCAAATACACTCACATTAGGAAGCTGTGATAAAAACACACCAATTAGCAACTTGCAAAAAGTTAATGTTGCTTGTTACAGTCGTGGCGGTTCCTGCTTGCAATTCCTTTTGTTTGAGCAATTTAAATCGGAAAATAAATATTATTTCATCAGATTGTAATTGACTACGGTAACTGCCGCGTCCGATTTTTGTATTTTGCTTTGTTTGAAAGAAAAGCATGCGACACCCATCTGATGAAGACTTATAGGTTCGATGACAACTAACGATAATTTTTCTACTTCCATAGACAACAAAAGACTGATTGCCTACTGCATGACCCCTCCTGCCTTAAAAGCTGGATCCTCCGCTGCGCAATCTATGATATTCAAATTTGGCTTTCTGGGTCAAAACTACTCAAGTTTCCTTACTCATATTGCTATGACTGAATCAAGTTTTCAATTCTCTATCCAACAGTGTCAAAACAAATTCTGTAGCTCGAATTGTTCTTGAGAAACTTCGAAAAAATCAGCGTCGTCATGTTTGAGTCGATTTTGATTTTGCTCTTAAAATCACGGCTTTTTTGAGCTAACTGCCAACATTTCCTGTCTGAACTGATAAAAAAATGATTGTTCTTGCTCCTTTGACTTCCGAGAAATTTGCAAAAATGGGACCGAAAACATGAAATTTTGGCACAATCTTGCACCTAATGGTTCGATATTTAAATTTCGCTTACTGGGTCAAAATACTCGAATTTCCTGCGGCATGTTGGTGTGACTAAATCGAATTTCCAATTTTGTATCCAACTATGCTTTTAAAAATTTGTAATCAAGCTGATTGGTTTTGAATGAAACTTTTTAAATAGAATGCTTCTAGTGGTCAGAATGAATGTAACTTTTACCTCCGGCCATGCGACTAAAGAACATTGATATTTTACCTGTGTTCAAGACTCAATTGATACCATATGGGCTTTAAGCGGAAAAAAAGTAGATTTACGTCAACATCTATGAAGCGTGAAAAAATCAGAATTTAGTGCCATACAAATGAGGTTCCCTGAGGACTCAAATAGAAGCCTCTTCTACAAGGTAAAAACTTTCATTTTTACCTCAACATCTCTTATTTAGATTGAAGTGTTTTCTAAAGAGCATGAAAGTTTTTGGCTCCGATTCTCGCCAAGTCGGAGGTTATGAATTTTTCAAGTTGACTTTGCAGTTGAGAAAAATTTTGATTTTTAAACCAATATCTATTAAGCGCTCCAAAATCAGAGTTTAGTGCGATTCGAATGCAATTTCCCCAGATGTTTCACTTATGGACTGTAGAAATTTCGCTTTACGGTTTACATTTTCTTAAAAGTTATGAAATTCTAATGTTGAACTAGCAGCTGGGTCAAAACTTTCATTTTTACATCAACCTCTACTAAGCACTCAAAAATCAGAATTTTGCATGATTCGAATGAAATTGTCCAGTTAATTAGATTATAGTGTTGTCTATAAAATGTGAGATTTGTTGGCTTCTGTGTTTTCTTTGTTGGAAACTATGAATTTTGAAAGTTGAACTTGTAGCTGGGTAAAAACTAGCATTTTTATATCAACATCTGTTAAGCGTTCAAAAATCAGCATTTTGTGCGATCCGAATTAACTAACCCGAGTATTCAGAATGAGGCTTTCACTATAGAATGTAAAAATCTTGAATGACGGTTTGGTTTTTTTGCAGAAGTTATAAATTTTGAAAGTTGAGCTTGCAGTTGAGAAAACGTTTTCGTTTTTATATCAGCATCTACTAAGGGCTCAAAAATCAATATTTAGTGCGATCCCAATTAAATTACCCGAGTATTCAGATTGATGCTTCATCTATAGAATGTGGAAATTTCGCTTTACTGGTTGCTTTCTCATAAAAATTATGAATTGATAAAGTTGAGCTTGCAGCTCAAAAAAAAACACGTAAATTTAAAACTTCTGAAAATTTAGACTTTTTTGGGAAAACTTCCCACATTTTCTCATCGATGGTTTGCTTTCTAAAAACGTCATTTAGTTCTTTCTGGAAAAATGAGTGTTCCTGCTCATTTTGCGTCCGAGCAATGAGCAAAAACGGGACGGAAAGGATGACATTTTGGCATAATCTTGCACCTAAATTTCTGATATTCAAATTTCTCTTTCTAGGTCAAAACCACTCAAATTTCCTCACTCATGTCGTTATGACTGAATTGAGTTTTCTCTATCCAACGATGTCATAACAAATTCTCTGGCTCAAATGGGGTTTGACAAACTTCGAAAAAAGCAGCGTCATGTTTGAGTCCATTTTGCAACTCAACAAGAACGCGCACATCTAAAACTTCTTGAAGTCAAGGCTTTGTTAAGGAAACTGGAAACATTTTCCTATCTATGGGTGACTTCCTGAAAAGGCCATTTAGTTATCTCTGGAATGATGTAAAAATGAGCGTTGTAGCTCAGCTTCCTTCCGAGATATGACCAAAAACGATACAGAAAACATGACATTTTGGCATAATCTTTCTGCTACATGAGGATTTCTACTACATGACCCCCCCTGACTTAAAGGCTAAATCCGCCTCTGAGTAAATCTTCAATCTTTTGAGTTTCAGGTAAGACCCGCATTTGGTTAATTTTTCAACCAAAATTGTTGAGAAAACGAGAAATTAATAAATGTCCTCACTCAATACAAAGCTACCCTTCTTACTTGTTTATTTATTTAACTTTCCTGTTTAGCATAGTGAACATTAACCCAGTATGACAAACAATAATAATATTTTTTTCCGATTCCAATTTTAAACAGCCGAATTATTAACTTGATTCAAATTTCATAATCTGTTGGCTTATTTTATTTTTATTAATCACTTTCTTGTAAGCGGTAGCCAATTAAAATTTTATATTCAGTATACCTTTGAATATTGATTAACCCGTTACGAATAATCATGATAAACAAAGTTTCAATCAAACAGATTTCTGAACATTCAAACACGTTGTAAACATTTTTCTTACTTTCAAAACAGCGCAATTTAAAAGAACAGTGGACTTGTCCGAGCACATTTCCAAAAAATTCTGTCTCTAATTCCTTACCACAATCTGCACGTAACCAAGTAAAAAATATGTTTTCTTGGTGGTTAACATTTTCATTTAGCACACTGGATTGGAGTCAATATTTGAAGCTTCATAGCTGCTGAACAATTTCAGGCGGAAAACCAAGTGAAGCTAACTGAAATACAGCTAAGTGAGAGTCGCTCACATAAAAAACCAACAAAAAAGTTTGAAAATATAAAAACCTGAAATAAAGCTTGTCTGTGAATCTTTCATTAGTCGAATCGTGTTGATATAAATAAACTGCGGTTTGCTGGCGGTTTCAAATGGGAAAATGAAACTAGCCAATCTTACCTTGCTCGTTTTTTTATCATTGTTAAAAATTCGACCTCATAGCTTGAAGTTTGCAAAAAAGCATTAAATTAAAGTTGATTAAATCGACTGACAATTCAAAAATAGCCAACAAAACAAAGTCTAAAATAAACAAGAAAAAGTATCGTTTGCGTTAGCCCGGCTCATGCCACATTGAAACAATGAAAACCAGTTAGTCTAGAGCTGATGATGCATAGTGAACTCTTCGGACAGGAAGCCCCAATGAACACACTCTTTCGTTATAGTCCAGCAGTCCAGGATGCCGGTCCAGTGGGCTCGGCTTGTGGCGATTGTGTTTTGTCAATGATGCACGATCCCTGTGTACCGATTGTTGTTTGTTTTGCTTCAGAGAATCCATCAGTCTCACAGGCAGGTTTTTGATTCATTTCTGTATTAATCAAGGTAATAGGTAAAAGGCATTGAATGTACACATATATGCCTAAAGGCAGCTAACATACAGAGTGTCTGTAAAATGTCTGTACAAAATGTACACACCCAGACTCCTGGGGCGAAAACCACACTTGTGCAGATGTTTTATAAAAAAAAAAGAAAAACGTCTCTTGATCGAAGTCTGTACAGCCATTTCGGCTTGCGATCTGCTGGTGGGGCTTTTAAAACACGTAGAAGACATGTTTTTTAATTGTTGTCGATGTGGCCAATTTATTATCCCTAACGTAAAAAACGACGATTTCTGTGTGGATCTACTGAAGAATCAAGAACATAAACACGGAACTTTTTTTGCTTTTTTGCACCTTATCAGAGCAAACAGCAGGAAGCTTCTATTTAATTCAATATGAAGTTGGACAATCGTACATAATATATTTGATAATATAATACATTTTGAAAACACTACCAAACACTTTCACGTTCAGCCGTTTAATATCTACCGACAAGATCCAACAATACTAGTGAGATTATAATAAATACATAAATGAGATACGATAAACCATGTCCATTCCAACCGCTTCCTCAAAAATTGCTTCCATCTAGTGTCCAGAAGGCATGTAGGCATACTGCCAAATATCCCCAATGCATACAGAGGAATGGAACCTGCAAAAAAACCATCATCAACCCAAAAAGTCCTCTAATCACCCAAAAACCCACCTATAGAACATCATCAGCGGCAAGCACATGTGTCCTACAATGCTCCAGAGCACTTTCGAGTAGAACTCCGGCCGGTACTCATCCAAGCCATGGGACTTCACCTCGAATGTCTGCATGATCCACATGGCCACATTGCAGATTATCAGGAAAGTTACAAACTCTCTTCCAGGCTTTTTCTTGCGTAGCGTCTTGGTGTTGCTGGATCTGGACATGCCATCAACAATAAAAGTCGTCTGGATCACCACTTGGACTACCTGAAAATAAAAGTTAGTTCCTTAACAAAAAAATGATTAGGCTGCAGGCACTAACCTCAAGAATAATTCCTACTACAGCGAGAACTCGACCAAAAATGATCCCAGCGATGACGCTGAATGTCCCATAGACAAAAAAGGCGGGCAGACACATGAGGCAGAGAAAGTTATCCAGAGAGTTGTGGGCCGACTCGTTCACATCCAGTTTCACCATCTGGAAGTAGGCGCACACAGCAGCAACAATCATCAGGAGCATGATGGTGGCTCTGGTGGCCAGATTGACCGTGAGTCCTGCCTGATCTAGACCCGCAGTCCTATGAAGGAAAAGGGCATTCACGTGGTAATAATCATCTAATATGCCAAGACTCTGGAAGCTTACTCGCTATAGTGCGTGATGAAGAACAAGATCAGGCTGACCAGGGCAAAGACTAAGACAATGAAGCCCAAGAAAAGCCCCTTGTTGGAAGCATGGCAATCCGCGTGGATGGTGATGTTGCTTTCCGGTTCGGAAGGCCTGCGTTCGTTCATGCACTGTCTGGTGTCTTCGCCATGATGGTCTTCGTGTTGAAGATCGCAGGGAGCACACAGGCCAATATTCACCCATACCAGGTAAATAATGCCCACTACATCAGCTGGGATTAGCAAGTTTGCTTAGGGCAAGAGTTTTACTACTTACCAACTAAAATGCTGTATTCCACACTGAACGGATAGAGATAGGGGGAGTAGTTTTGGTAGATTATATTCAGCTCATCGTGCTCGCACACTGCAGTGAACCTCAGCGGCACGATCTGCACTCTCTGTTGACTGGCACCTGAAAAATCACTTAGAAAAATGACAACCTCCAAATGTCCCCTACCTTCATCCTCAGCATCCACTGTGGCATTGTAGTCATCATAGTGAGAGTTCTGGATATACTCGGCAGTCTCTCGGAAGATCGTCCACAGCCAGAAGCACAAGCTGGAAGCCAAACAGTGCATGAACCCAAAGCGATGGAAGTCGCGCTTCTTGTTGATGATGACCTGTAAAAGCACATAGCTTTTAACTTAAGCCCACAGTTGGAAGAGCAAAGCCACTCACGTTAGAGTACTTGAAGATGAAGAAGAGCAACGTGATGGAGTAAATAGGATAGAGGATCTCGATTGCAAAGGTGATGACGCTCATGCAATCACTAGCTGCTTGATCCTCGGACCCCAGGATCAATCCTCGATAGGTCAAAATTAAAAAGCTGTGGATCAGGTGGCCGAAGCAAAAACCTAAAATCCCCAGCAATTAATCAAGGGATTTTTTCGAAATAACCATCCTCCTCACCTGCAGCCCCAATTTTCAGATAAAAATTCTTCGAGTGCCTGTCATTATTGAAGCAATAGCGATGATCCAGTTGCTTCTGCAGCGCCAGCGCTTCTTGCAGGCCAATGTCGTAGGCAATTCCTTCAGTTATCTCCTTGATCTCTACCTGTTCAGGCTCCAAATTCTCCATTAGCTTCTCGAATTTGCTCTTCTTGAGGTTGTAGAGAGTGATGTCGACATTGAGCCACAGCAGATAGAGCAAGGCCATGCTGAGCAGGGTCAAGCTGAATCCCTGTGAAAAACCATGCAGTGCTAGAAAATGCATCTTAGGGGGTCGTTGTATGCAATTCTTCTAGCAGCTTATCTAGGCACACCCGCCTACTTACTTCTGCTAGATACTCGATTCTATCTTCCTCTAGCTGCAAAGTATCGATTACATAGAAGGAAACTCCCAAAGTGACAATTAGGATGGCGTAGATGGTGCTCATGCTGGTGGTGAGTATATCCCTAAACACTTCGAGTCAATTGGCTTTCCCTACGATACGTTACGATAAACTCACGTAAAAATTCTCTTCTTTGCCTCAGGAGGTGTGGGCATTTTGTGATGGGAACCAGTGGTGGAATGTGGGGTGTGCGCCCTCTTGTAAGGCTCAAAATCTCCGCTCGAGACGGCGTAGCCCCCATTTTGGAATTGGACGTTTGGAAAGTCGTTATTTGGGGTTCCATTTGGAGATCCTCCCCCATCGTTTGTTGAGTAAGGGCTGATAGCCTCTTGAGAGCCGGCTGGGCGGTTGATGGTTCCAAATGTATTATCTGAAGGTCAAACATCATGATTTTGAATCATTGGAATAGCAATGAAAGTTTTAGGAATTCTATTGAATTCACAAAAATATTCGGTGCTCGGTTAAACTTCTCCACGAATATGGGGATTTAGACATGGAAATTATGACTTTTTGTGAAAGTCCTCTATCAATTTTGACCCACTTTTCCAATAAAATTAGTAAAATAAAAAAACTAAGATTTTATGCTCCTGGAAAAATTCAACAAAATGACGAATATCCGAATAGTTTTTTGATGCTAACTAACTAAATGAGACTTTAACATTGAAAATCAGAACTTTGCTAAATTATACTGCTTACATGGATTTGTACAATCATACGACTGACTGTTTCCCACAGAATAGTTGTACGGACTTCTGGATCTAGATGTTATGGGCAGCACCATGCTTTTCGGCTCCTAAAAACATCCAATATTGGAAGCAACTGCAGAAACCAGGACATAAGCTATAGACGTTTTCCTGAATGTTCACCCAAGAGTACTTACAGAGTACTTTTCAATGTACCTTGTTACAAAAATAGTGTGTCCAAATATCACAACCATGGCTAGTATAGGTTCACTACTAACTCTACTCAAAAAACAGCCAGATTAGGCATATAGTTAACTTTTATAGCTGATATCGGTATGGATTAGTCCAGGTTTCGACACCTAATCCTTATTATTGTAAGCTGGTCACAACATTGATTGGAAACGCGATTCGCTAATAACCGATAAATAATCGATGTTTTGTGCCAATTAAGGAGAAACTGCAATTTCGTTGCCGAAATGGGAAATTTCCATTATCATCCTTTGCCATTTAATTTCACTAATTTTCTGCAAGTTTTCTCTTCTGTTTCATTGCTTATTAAATTTTCCTAATCTTTGCGTTCTCAACTTTAGCTTTTCAGCTTCAAACTTCCTGTATGTTCAAAACCCCTTAAAACCCCAAATCCATTTTAAGCCTTTTCGATCAATTATCCCATCTAAGACACCAAATCCACGCATTAACTTTGCAAATGCATGTAAAGAATCCAGAGTTAATCCACGCAAAAATTACATTCCAATACCACAACAATTCGCTTAACCATATCAAGGATTAATTCGATTTTTACTCAACTACTCACCCGTGAGTTGCTTTTTCCATGAGGATTTCTCAGTCTCACCAAATCGGAAGCCGATTGAGAATGCTGCAGAGCAGGAGGGCTGTTTTTCGGTTGCCGGTTGAAATTTGGATGCCTCAGGATGACGACCTCGCTGTTTGCAACCGAAACGTTGTCGCCATCTGGGGGCGGAGGTGGCGGCATATCGGTAGGCGGCTGGCGATTTCTCTCATTGTTGTTCATCTGAAAATGTGCGCCATTATTATAGAAAACTCAATAATAAATGTGTCATTTTAGGCAGACTAATGAAAAAAGTTAAATATCAATTATGCTTAGACGATTTGGAGCAGAAAAGCACATTTTTCCTAAACTAATCATTCTCTCTGACGTACTAACCGCAAGCTAACAAATACAAATAATTATAATATAAAAGACAGGAAATACAGAAGAGAAATTGATACATGCTATTCTGATTCTGAACTTCAAGCAAGGTGAACGCACAATAATCTGACGAGTAATGTATGAAAAGTAACAATGAAGAGAATTTGTATGAGAAAGCTGAAAAGAAGAAGTTAAATTGAAAAATTCATGTTAAAGTGAACAAAGAGATGGAAAATTATGACAAATAGTGCATTGCGTACCTAGAAACATACACAAAATTGATGTATAAAGTAACATAAAAGAGAATGAAGTTGGAGTCCAAGTAAACACAATTAACTACTAATTTAGGAAAATAAAATCCTGTTGAAAGAAGCTACAATTTGTGATTAAACGATGACGCAAGTATAAAAAATATAATCAAAAGAGTCTGAAGCACACAGAAAAATACATTTAGATTGCAAGTCCGTGCGAGCCAACAAATACTCTTTGAAGCAAAAATGATAAAAAATAACATTGAAGATGAGCAAGTTAAGCCGGAAAATTTGAAGAACTACTTCGAATGAAAAAAATACTTGGAAATGTGCGAATAACAATAATTTTAAAAATGTGTAAAGTTAGTTAGATTATTCTTCCTAAGTAATCGAAAGAATTTGCTACGCAGTAATATGAACTGAAAAAGGAGAAGATAAAATTGATAATAACTGACAATTTACTACCACATTTAACAGGAAGTCGAAATTATACAAAAAATTATGCAGTTCGACATAGAAACATGATAAAAGTGTCGAAAACCAAAATGACCAAATGGAAAAAGAATCAATTGAAACACAACAGTTAAGGTTTAGCTTGCAGTGGCGAATTACTAACATAACGTAAACCGAGGTCGAATAAGAACAGTTAATATGTAAATGCAAAAAGCGAAAAAACGTATACCCAAAAAATTGTCGAGTTTGTCATATAAATATGAAAATATACAAAAGACCCCCAGAAGCCTGTCTTAATTCATTTGAAATTCGGTGGACTGTTTTTTGGAAACATGCTCGGCACCAGCAATTTTTAGTTGTAAATGCGATTTTGTGCTCCAAATTTATCTACAGAGGGTGGTCCAAAAATAAGTCACCACCAAAGACGAGAGATATCGACTTGGAACAAGTACACATTTTTTTAACGATATTTTAAAGCCCAAAAAATGTCTGATGTTTTAAATGCCTCCAGATTATTGCAGCTAGCGCCATCCAGGCTATATCTACAAGCTAGGTCGGCTATAGGAAATTTGGTTTTGTCGATATAAAAAACTCCCAAACACAATTTTGTTGGACCTAGTAAAACAGGTTAAGAATCGCTTAAAAATAAACCATCGAAATTTACAAATCAGCATACGGCTTGAATCTAGATCTGCCATTTTAACGGACTATATTCAACATATCCAGCACCTAAAGTTGAAATGTTCATGAAAATCGAACAAAAAACTAATCGAAAAAATCTAGTTGAAAACAAGTTATGTTTTCCAAATCATGACCTGGACCGAATGTGGATCTGCTATTGAGGCATTGATTTAACTACATGTCAAGCTTTAAAAGACCAAAGCTTCACGAAACTCGGTATCAAAATAAAGTTAGATATTTCGTAGCTCACAATGACGCGAGCAAAGAAGCATTGATAAATTGAATGTGAGTCCGCCGATACACAAAATTTAATTTGTATTTTCATTTATTTAATTTAAATGCAATATTATATATTTACATTTAACTTAGTATAAAAAGTTTAATGCCGGATTTCTTTATCTTTTCCTGAGCATGCGGGATTGTTTACGTTATAATTATATGGTCACTTATGCCGACTATTCTTATAAAATAAGGCGTAGCATCGTTTCTGCTAGGATCAGCATAATTTAACTATAAAAGAAACCACAGGAGAAACAAGAATTTAGTAATTAGATGTTTGGTCAGAAGTCATAAGAATTGAGTCTCAGATACAGCCAATCTTAGTCTAAAGACAGTCTTAAGATATACGGGKCRTGCCTRATAGTYAATATTCGGTTACAACTAACCTCTATTGCTTGTATTAATTTGGAAATAAATTGTTTTAAAAAGCAAACTTTCAAATTAATTAATAACATTTTATCGAATCGAGTTTGAACGTGAAGCAATGGACGAAATCAGTMGCCAATCCTTTGAGTCGCGATGTTAGATRGAAAATATAGAATCATTGATCACTATTAAGAAAAGTTTTTAATTCGAAATCCATTTTCATTGTGTGATCAAGTGTAGTGTGTGCTTTTTGACAAATAATGGGAGGAAAATCGAGTATGGGGCGTCAGCTTGTAGAAAGTGGGTTTTTCCGAAATTTGCGTTTTGCTTTTTGGAAAATTAATTTAATGAAATATACCTTGGACACTAACTCGAGGTTTTCTATGCCCGACTATTTTTTATAAGAAGTTTTACAGTTTCAATGCAAATAAATGTAAATCTCGAGTGAACTGCACATGTATTCTCGTGTAAGGTATTTTGGATCAATTACTGGTGTTTGTCTGTTACCAACTACATTCGAAACTAAACCGTTTTTGGACTCTCAATGGGAACTGCTCAGATTTACGAATTTCAACTTTTCTTGTACCATTTTCCTACTAAATGGTGAAATTTAAGCAATGTAAAATAAGGGTGTTCTGCTGCAAACACTCTTTGAATTGTAGTTGAAGCAAGTATATCAATTATTAGTATTGTTCTGCTGTAAATAATTTTTTTCCCTGCTTTGATAGTTATTAATACCCATCCAGAATCCAGACTAAAGTGCCTAAAGGCATGTGATTTTTTTACTTTATGCAGTTTTTGCGAATAGCGCCATAAGAGGTTGCAAATTCAGTGTTCTTAAAAACAACATTCCAACTATTTTCGCTCCAAGATGCTCGCTTCGTTGTCATTTAAAATTTTCGATACTGTTATGAATCCATCACTAATTATGTCTAATTGTTATAAGATCTATTGTAAATTTGTATGTCACTTTTGAAAATTGATACTTTATCTATTGTTTAATACCTTTGATAATTTAGTGTTATGTTAGACAAGCTAAGCCACTTGATAATTGACGTGTCGAAGACATGGCTTTTGGCATATCAAGAAACAGTATGAACATTATCTTTAAACAGCTGTTTATTTAACATTTATTGGTGGGAATCGAATAAAAATAGGTTTGAACAGTGCTTATAACTATTTTCCTTAACTTAACTGACCCATTATCCCCATCTATAATAATGATAATTATTATTATTGATCGTTTTTAATGTTCTTTTTGGTATTAAATATTTGTACTCTAAGCTATTAACGGATTTCCGTTGTACCGATTCAATTAAATTTTCTAAATTTGATCAAAAATAGAAAATTAACCCCACAATCGCTCTTAAGCAACCTAAAGACCAGTTTAGTCTGGCCCCTAAAATTTATTCAGTTGAATAAATCGAAATGGCCTAAAAACGAAAAACTATTAGGCTGCAATTGAACCATACAAACATTTGTTAGGGTTTTCCTCATTTGAAAAATTGCTGCCGGCTATTCTATTCGTGAAATTTGGGTAATCAACAAGGCCAAAACATAAAACAGATTTTTACCTCATTGGGCTCAAAAACCTCATCCTCCAAGTGGACGCTGATCGGAAACTCCCTGCTTCCAGCATCAGCAAACGAAACCTTCCCATTATCTTTCACACCCTCATCAAAATTTCGACCATTATCGCCCTCCTCAGCAGCCATTTTTCTCAAGTTTTCTCACTGAGACAACCAGCAGCATCTTATTTTTCTCACAGTTTTCACGCAACAGAATTGAAAAAGTCACTGAGCTCTGAGTGCCAATTATAATTAATCGGCTCAATAAGATGACGTCGATGGAACGTAGCCTGGCTAAGATAAAGACGATTAGCCAAAGTCAAAGCCAAATTTATAGCGCTAAGCTCTGCCAGTTTCAAGTTATGACAATATTTTGTTTCGGTTGATTTATGGCCTATGAACTAATAAAGCATTCCGGTTATTTCAAACAATTATTACCGAGTATTGTCGTTTGTTTTTCAATGGCTTATGGATGAGTAAATTGATGATTAAAGGTCATTTTGCCTTGCACATGCGTTGATGGTGCAGCAGATTACAGAATTAATTATTCGACTCGCTTTCTTAAGATTGAAAATGATGTCCTAAATGTGCGTAAATAAACTCAGTTGAAATCTGCACACGCAGTTAAAACTGAGTCCAATTCGTAACTGCAGCTGGATTCATAAAATATTAATTATATTTCGGATTTTTACTTTCAATAAATCGGGCGATAGGAAACATAGTAGATCGCCTAGTACACTCGACCCAAAACAAGGATTTTTTATGTACTAAATAAATAGTCAAGGGTATCAATTTACTTATACAAGAAATACCTTTTTTCGTTTCTTCAAGGTGAAAACGACCTAAACTAGAATCCAATCAAATTTGCGTTAGTGTCTTTTCGAAAAATAAAAGAACATTTTTATAATCCAACCGACTAAAATAAATAAAGTAGGACTCACCGGACTAGCTTTTGATGAAACTGACGATAGGAAAACTGCCTTCCACTTTCTACGATTTTAATTACCGTAAGTGATAAATATGTGCATTCCAGCAGAAATTTGGTTTTGCGCAACACACTAATTCTATAAAACGACACGAAAATAGTGAACATTCAACTAATTTTGCAAAATTAAAACGACAAGGCTAATATTAAAGGTGATGCATCAAAGAATTGAAGAACGACTAGAAGATAATAATGGACAAACAAGGTAAAAAACTGTATCAAAAGAAATAGACTTTGGAGGCCATTCCTGGAAACTAATGGGTTCTTCGGGTTTTTAAGCCGTCGTTCGGTAGATTTTTTCCCTGACGTTTCGCAAGCACGAGTGGCTTGCACGCTCAAAAGTGGTTTGCTTGAACGCTTACACTGTACCGATCAAGTCATGTCTGCGAAACGTCAGGAAGAAATTCTACCGAACGACGGCCTAAAAACCCGAAAAACCCATTAGTTTCAAGGTAAAAAACTAATATAAAGAGGAGCGCTTTTAACACGTCATGAAAAATATTTTTCTTTGAAGTTTTGAAAGCATAAGTGTCCATCTGAAAATGCAAACTGAAGTGCTTGAGAAACCCCAGAAGAATTCTTCTACAGCAGCCTAAAATCCCAAAAAACTTACTAGTTACAACTACTACTTACAACTAGTTAAAGTTGAGAATGAAAATAAATAAAATGAGAGTTACGTAAATACGTACTGACAATAAAGAAATAGAGACTTAATCGACTGAAAACATTATTAAGAAAACAGAGCAGATACAAGTCATTTTTTGATGAAAAAATATCTAAATGATTATTTCTAAATAAATGTCAATTTTTCCAGAAGAAAATGAGATTTTTGTGGTTTTCTCATTGTTTAATGTACGTAATGTCCGTTTTCATAACCATAATGAATGAAGCCTCGAGTTACTCTTGTTTCTTAAACCCACATCAAAATTAGAATTTTTTTGAAATTGATTTCTGGCTTTTTTTTCAGCAAATTGCTTTGAATTGTGTAGCAGAAATTGTAGCTCTTGCTCTCCAAAGAATCTCACGTGTCTTTTTTTCATTCCTCTTCTCAACTGCAGCAATTTGTGTTTACATTCTTGCTACACTCCTTCTGTTCTTGCTGTTATTTTTCAATAT